TTGAACAAGAACCTAACAGGGGACCTTTCTATATGCATAATAATAACCTATGCAGAGCGGCGAGAATTACTTTGTACTCGGTCTCGACCCACAATGTCTATCTTTGAGAGTAACAAACTTAATGAAGGTCGTCACGCATGCGAAAAAATCATAGAAGCATAATTTAATAAGCTCTTTTCTATCGAGACTCATATGTTTTAATTAAGATGCATGTATTTCATTTTTAAAAAAATTCATTTGCCTTTTACCTGGTTTTAATTACTTTGACATAAATTTATGCACGTTAGAATACAAGTAATATATGCATATTGGTATGTACTATGAATCATTCGGCTGTACAGATATGTGTATATAAATCTATTTGCATTTAATGCTTGCCACGCGGTAGCCGAATTTGCAACGCGCCGAAACAAATCGTTTTGTCGCTGTATACTTCGAAAAACTGGTTTTCAAGTAAAATATTCGACCAAAGATGCAAAAGCGTTAATATAAATAAAATGTCATAATACATTCCTAATTCATTTATTTTTAACGGATTGTCGATATTACATATTCAATTCACAAAATTAATTCCTATACATTTCTATTCCTTACTTCTAGTTTAGTTTTACTGGGTTGTAATTCAATAGTTATATAATATTTACTTGGACAAATTTAAGACGCTACAGGTTTTATTCTTACTGAACTCTCGCAATTTAGTGCCCCCTGAAATGAATGTAATACAATGCTCCGGGGAGTACTAGACGGAGCTGCATTCGCGAGAGCTTCTCGGCGTAATATAGTATTTTCACACAATAGAGCGCATCAAACAATTTTGAATAGGGTATGCCTCGGGCGGCGAGATTCGGCTGCATCACAATGTAGGTCTGGAAAGTTTCAGTCACGTCTAAAAATTTATAAATCTGATTCAATTAATTAATAATCTAGATACCAACTAATATGTGGATTTCACTGCTCGTTTATTTTTGTTGCATGTTACGCAAATAAGAAGCCGATGCAATGCCAGAGTTGTATCATACATACAACTCTGGCAACAGCAAATTAATTGCTTATTATAGAAATAACTATGTAGTGTGATGTCTTAGATGTTGATTGTTCGATGTTTCTCATTTTTTTTATACCGAATATTACAAATATTAAAAAAATGCGAATAACAACAGGGGTTTATCTACAAAATTACCGTTCCTAAGTACTAGCTATTTCAAACACATAAAAAAAGTTTTGATTGCCTGTGAATTCTAAATTCAAATAAATTTGTTTTAAAATATGAAATTCTTTTTATAAATTTAGTCTTTTGTTTATTGATTAGCTTTGTATTTTCATTACATTTGATCATTTTTCGTCATAATGGATTTAAAAAGTTTATTATATTTAATTTTATTCTTTAAAAATTCGTGTCATTATGGACGCAGTACAAACGTTTACGGAGACTTTAAACTTTAGAAACGATTAGGACCCGTTATTGTTTTCCCCAAATCTGTCTTGAAAATAGAACCTCGTTTTCATTCGAATACTTTGGTCAACAACGATCACTTAAAGGTGATTGTGGAAGCAGCTTTAAATGTTAGCATCAAAACAATATTGGTCTATTTGTGACAAATTGGCAAGGTAAAGCTTGATAGATGACCATACGAACTTAACTACCGCCAGCGCAACGTACGCATCAAGAACTGCCTCGTTCTCCTCAACAGGTATAGAAATTAAAGACAGTGATGGAGAAGCTTGCACAATTGCTACTTCCTTGCTTCATGACAACGTGGGGCCGTTGCTGCACAATAGACAGTTTCTAAACACCAAGAGTTGGGGTTGGAAGCTCTTAATCATCCGCTATACTCACCAGAACTTGCACCTACCGACTATTTCTTTTTCCAAAAATTTTAACAACATCGTAGCGGGAAAAAATTCAAATCCTTAGACACAGTACAAAATGCATTTGAAGAGTTTGTTGCCTCCCGTCCAGCTGATTTTTATAAGAATCAATAAACTAGCACTGCGTTGGCGAAGATGCGTAGATTGCATGGGTAGAGATAGATTGCACTACTTTTAATATTTATTTCGACTACTACGAGGTACACAATAATATTAATATAATTCCATCCTTAAGATAAGATATGTTTGTGGCCCCAATTAGTTCTCATCACTCTTTTATTTTATTGCTTTTAGATGATATTATGGCGCAAAGCTCGCCTAAATAATTGAAATATTTACTAAGCGCACCCAAGGGAATAAATACATAGTTTTAAGTCTGACGTGGAAAAGACTCAAAGTCAAAACATCAATCGAAAGATACCCATGTTCGGAGTCTCAAGATAGAAGTTTTTCAATCAATGAGCAAAGATATATCAAAGGTGAAATATAAAAGTTGAAACCCACCCACACATCCACGTGGATCACACAATACACGATTCTGTATTGTATAAAATGATAAGGACGGAACGACGCCAAAAAATAAGCGTGACATTTCTCAGAACCCTTTGATATCGGCACACGGTATCTGAAATATCACATTTCTTCTTATTACTCGTCGATCTTTAAGAAAGAAAATTGACATTCATTATCATTATTATTTCGTTTCCCTTAAAAAAATAATCATGTAAGGAAAAAATTACATGTAAAATAGGCTATTAATGTTTATAAAATGGGTGCAAAAATGTATTAACAATGATGAAGTACGCATCTATGCATCCATTGCAATCATTGAATGAACAAGTGGATCCAGTCATAGTCCAGATCCAGTCTTCCAGTATCTCAGTAGGAACCTCTACAATAGATTTATGGAAGCCTCTCACCGCCACTTCCGGGGCTACAAATTATAAATCTTTAATATCGAAAAAAAAAGAAAATGTAAGGTAGGAAGGTCAAGTTGGATTCATGATCAGTTCGATATTTAAGGCTTTCAAATACGTATTCATTATCACAACTTATCGTGGAGAAGGATGTCATTTGCTGAGATGACAAGTAATTGATTACGTATCTGATCAACATGTGGCCACAGGCCCTAGATTTAAGTGAAAAAACTATTTTTACATTAAATTATAAAACTATTTTAACATTTTAAGTAAATTCTTATCGATTCAAAATAGTTTACCCAAGTCGTCACCTGTTACAATGTTATAGATAGACTATGATTGTTCTCCGTTAATATTTATTATTACACTGGTCGCAAAAATAAAGGGCTCAATAATTTTAAACTTTTTAGTGCTAATAGAGTTTTTCTAAGTAGTTATTTATTTCGGTAAAAACTTCATTTTTTAATTTTTATTAATTTAATTTCAATATGTAGTAGTATGTATATAGTATAATCAAATCAAATCATTTATTCATCAAAATAAGAAATATACATTTCATTTACCGATAGTCAAAATCTCTACCACCGGATATAAAAATTTGTAAACCTAGTAAACTCGCTGGTCGTATGAGATATAGGCGTCAAACTGAAACCGGAACAAAAAAGTAAAACGGTTCTTTAAAGAGAAACCATAAAGAAAGAAAGAAAAAGAAAGGAAAACGATTTAAAGCATATAAGGAAAGAAAAACTCAAACATTTATTTTTACTCATATGATTGGCCTGACCATCGCGAAAATAGATTGTTAAAATTTTTTGGCTTTTACCCAGAGTCTTTTTAACTAGCTAAAATCCTAACGAGTGCGATCATTGTCTACCTTTAATCCACAATCAATTAGCTAATGAGAATCAAAAAGACTACGATCACCGCCCTTGTTTAATACATGCTCGTTTAACCGATTAAACTGACAAGCAACGGACACGATTGCGCGTCCTACGTGCTGGTTCCAGTCAGAGCTTGATTAATGAAACTTCAGAAGCCAGAACCGAAAGAATAATTTAGTTCAGCTGCAAGAAATACTGGAAATATGTTAAGTGCTAAAAATTTCGGGAGAGTTTCAATATTGTTGCAACCATTCAGTTAAAAAAATTGTATATTTATTTACAACAATTACTTATAGTAATTGCGATTGGACGGCTCAACTTGAATAATTGCTTCGCGAATGTCAAGGAATACTGTTGATAAAAGAATTTGACGATGCAGTTCGAATTTATGCCACTGTCAATCACTGCCGACGCTTACAATGCTCACTCGATAGCTGAGAACGTGAAAACACAGCCTATTTATACAATTATTGATGAATCTCGTGAAATTTAAACATACGGAAATTTGCCTCCAAGTAATTTAACTTTATTAATTTTATTATTATTTTATCTTTTATATTCATGTCATATCCAGATGTAAATCAGACTGCAAAAATAAATATTTGCTATTTATTATAAAATGTGTGTTTCTTTTTTTTTTATGGAGAAAAGGGGCAAACCGAGCAGGAGGCTCACCTGATGGTAAGTGATTACCGCCGCCCATGAACACCTGCAACACCCGAGGGCTCACAAATGCGTTGCCGGCCTTTTAGAAATGAGTATGCTCTCTTCTTGAAGGTTCCCAGGTCGTAACGGTTCGGCAAGATCGCCGGCGGCAGCTGGTTCCACAGAGTGGTTGTGCGAGGCAAGAAATGCCTTGAAAATCGCGCTGTTGTGGAACGCTGGACATCGAGGTGGTGTGGATGAAATTTTGTCGATAATGATAATGGAATGATGTCCGATAATGGAATTCAGCCGCCGGGATCAATCCAAACAATTCCTCAGAACACTCCCCGTGATAAATGCGGTAGAAGATGCAGATTGATCCAACATCTCTACGCAGAGCCAAAGGATCAAGCTGATCGGAAAGACTTTGATCGTCGATAACCCTAGCCGCCCTACGTTGAATGCGGTCAAATGGAAGAAGCTGGTAATGAGGGGCTCCTGCCCAGAGATGAGAACAGTACTCCATGTTTTTGTTATTTTTACCCCGATGTAAAATATGGTTAATGTTATAAGTTTGACATGTCTGTCTGTGTAACTGTGGTATCGTCGCTTCTAAATGGATGAACTGATTATGATAGGTTTCTTTTCTAAAATCCTCATTATTTTTTATTATTCGTTTTGACAGAGGTCGGTGCTAATGGTGCCACGGGTGGGGGTGGAACCGAAAATGATGATTCCAATGGTGGTGGAATCTGGAAGCGCATTGTGCGCGCGTGCCCGAAACCTTTGCGCGCGCTTTGCTCTTCACACCGATTCGATAATCTTCATGTAAGTTGCAATATTTTTTTCAAATACATTTCATACTCAATGCGACTATAAACTAGACTATGCTATAAAACATAACCGAATTACGCCTAAACACACTAGAAAATTTTATTAATCTACATAAAAGCCCGAAGAGTGTATAGTGTTGAATGAATACCACAAATCATCCTTAGTCCTTTCACCATTTGCTTACATAAATTTTTGAATAAGGTATTAGGTATTTGATTATGAAATTGCCATTTAATATGGAAAAAAGTCAAAGTTAATATAACTTTCATATATAATTTTAACATTCCCGCAAAAATTGTGAGAGCCATAAAATCTTTGAAGGCGGTTTAGATTATCACTGTCTACCAAGAAGCTTGTTCTGTGTATCAAAAATTCCAGAATGAAAACGTTAGAACCAAGATTTCTATTACAGTACATTCCCGTTATTTCTGCAAAGATCGTTCCATGGTGGAAAGCGTTTTCTTAAATAATGCAACATTTTAGTCTTTCCATGCTGTGAACAGACTGTTGTCAAAAAAATTAAATGGCCTGAAAACAAAAAATGATGAGAGAGACACAAATACACATGTAAAAATATCGGTTTGAAATAAATTTGAATATCAGGCCACTTTTGGTCAGATTAAGCCAGTTCGACAAAATGCTAATCAATAATTTATGAAACACCATAAGAAAGTTAAGTAAGTCTAATTAGATCTTGAATTGAACGCAAATTTACTTAAAAACAACAAATCATACAACTATAATTGCTTTGGATGACCTTCTTAAGCCAGAGATTTCTTATTTCACTGTCACCAGTCCAAAAAGATAAAATAAAAAAAAACGAACTGTTGCTTTACTATACCCAAATTCCAATGAGAGCACAGGAACTATAAACTAATATTACAACATTTATACTGTATTAATACTAACAACGTATTGTTGTTTCAACGTACTAATATAACTGCTATTTTTCTTTAATAACATATATTTTTCTCAATTTGCACTTTCTCTCCTTTCCTTTTCTAAAAGTGCCCAAATTCACACAGGAGGTTCAAGCTCGGTAGTATAATCGTTTATTAAAATTAAAAACACACACAAGTTGACAATGCGGTAATCATTCATAAATGCGTCGTATAAATTTGAAATGAACTTGTGTGAACTAACACGCAGTTATGAATGATCGCGCATAAAATAATGAGTTGCCCATAAATCATTTTTAAGATAATTTAAAATGAATGTAATTGATTAATTACGAGTGATTTTAAATATTTATCATTTTATATAGCATTATTTATGTCTAGAATTTAATTTAAAAAATGGATACACTTAGAAAAGCCTCCCTGTATAGTAAATCTTCATTTATTATAAAACAACAGAAAGGTCTTTTTAATTCTTAAAAGAACTGGGAAAGATTGCCCGAAGACAAAAAGTCCGCTCTTTGATACATTACGTTATTTCCAGTAAAGAATTAATATATTGCAAGAAAGGAAAGATTGAGAAAGTTATAAGAATATCATCGTAAATTAAATAATAATAAAGAATAATGTTAATAATCAAAACGATGTTTTTTTATATCTTTAGATTTAGATTTTCCAATATAACTAGGTACTATTAATACCAGACTTATGTAAATTTGCTATTTGTTGAGTTAAATTAAATTGTCTGAAGACTTCTAATGGGAGTTTGTTACGAATTATCAACGTTTAAAGTCTGTTTTTAATTTTGGTATCGTAACACGAATAAGTTAATGAAAAACGCTTTAACGATTATTATTTGTTATTTAAATAGTGAAATCAGTCATAAGAGTACCGATATGTACAGTAAACTCTACAAAGACTACTATCAGTTTAATTGTTGTTTGCTATAAGTAAATGTTCAATAAAGACATTTTAGTTATCGAAGGTTTATTAAATAATTATGAATAAAAAATTTTAGCGAACGTACCATTATACTCTACCATTTTGCTACCAAGCCCAACTAAGGTACCATGTAAAAACCAACACACGAGCGTAGCAGCCTACAATGCGTTTTGCCTACAAAGCAATTACAATAATCCTTACTAATATTATAAAGGCTAAAGTTTGTATGTATGGATGGATGTTTGTTACTCTTTAAACTGTACAATAATAAAGCTTATACATTAGATTGAGATATATATATAAATTAAATATGGCCTAAATATGTATCTTGTATCTTGTATTAACTGATGTTTTTGCTTTCAGTCCCGAGACTATTAAAGCTTCATCGGACGCAGAACCGGTGGGCTAGCCAGAACCCACGGGTTTGGACCCTCCGCTATGGGTAGGGTCGCGCATGTGCTCATGCGTGCGTTTAACTACTATGGTGTGTCATCTAAGGGCCGTCGAGGTCGCCGGTTCGGACCGAGACCCCGACGGCCGTCGACTGTGCATTTAGCTAATCGTCGGCTGGGAGCGGTGAGAACCGCCCCGGAACGCGGGTGTACCTTGTGTACGCGTTGTGTGGGTCTCGCCGTGCTCGGAGGCGAGGGCGAACTGGTGTGATTGTTGTTACACTAACTGTGGGTGTAGTGTTATCCGGCGGGACCCCCGGCGGTGGGTCCATCGTATCTAAGTCCTCTTCGTCGACCGGGTCGATGAGGACGTTTCGCGGGCGACGCTTGTTTACGTTCGCGTTTGTGTCCGGTTGGTAGTTTGCTGCGCTTACCACCAGAGGGTTGGGATGATGCTGGACTCTATCGAAGAACCGTTTTGTCAAATCTTTAAAATGTGCGCGAATCGTCGGGAGTCTGCAATCGCTGTGCAGGTCGACGTTGCGCTGATACCATTGCGCACCGGTTGCGCGGCGGATAAACTTATTTTGTACTATTTGCAACTTGTACAAGCGAGTAGGGTGCGTGTGGGCGAAGATCATGCATGCGTAGGACATAATAGGTCGTACGCAGGTCTTATATAATAATAATTTGTGCCTTAAGGGCATTTTACTTTTAGCATTAGTTAAATTGTGTAGCCAGCCGGAGACGAACGCGGCTCTATTACGAACGTTATTAATGTGCGTAGTAAATGACATACGCGAGTCGAAAGTGACTCCTAAGTATTTCACCTTTTTCTCCCAGGGGAGCGGTTGGCCATAAAGGGATATTTGCCCCAACTTTCTGCATTGGCGAGGGCCATTATAAAGATTTGACGGGTAGGTACTTCGTGTGAAGTGAATCGCCACACTCTTTTCGGGATTAATATCGATTCTCCATTTGCGGAACCAATCGCCGAGGCGGTCGGCAGCGCTTTGGAGTCGAGTCGTTAATTGACTGAGGTTGCGGTCTGAGTAAAAGAGCGCCGTGTCATCCGCGAAAAGCGCGAGATTGACGTGGGGGTCTCTAGGTATGTCGCTCGTGTAGAGCGTAAATAGCAAGGGTGAGAGGCAGGAGCCTTGTGGTACGACGGCCGTGAGGCGGCGGCTTGTGGAGAGGGTGCCCTCGACTCGATATCGAAAAGAGCGGTTCAACAAAAAGGCCCGGATGGTGTGTACGAGCCTATCTGGCACTTTGAGTGTGTACAGCTTGTAAAGCAAGCCGTTGTGCCAGACCTTGTCGAATGCCTTGGCGACATCGAAGAAAAGAGCCCCTGTACTGATATGTTTCGGGTGGTTTAGGCCTTTTAGGATGTGCTCCGTTAGGCGGTATAACTGATCGGGATAAGAGTGTCTAGCTCGAAAGCCGAATTGTTCCGTCGGTAGAAGGCCGTTGGAAAATACGTGCTCTTTGAGCCTGTTTAACAAGAGCTGCTCGTAGAGCTTCCCCAGGCAACTGAGGAGGCTGATGGGACGATAGCTAGAGGGCTAATTGGCTGGTTTATTCGGCTTGCGAATGCCGATAACCGTGGATTGCTTCCAGTCGTCCGGAAAGGAGCAACTGGAGAGAAGGGTATTGAAAATGGTCGCCAGTAAACAGATAAGCGGCCCAGGGAGAGCTTTGAGAATCTTATTACTTATATTATCTGGGCCCGGGGCGGATTTTGGTTTTAAATATTTAATAATATCTTGGACCTCTTCGGGGGTCACTGAATTTAAAGGTTCGCCTTCCGGTGGAAGCGCAGCCCTAGTCTCGATTACGCGGTCCACCTCCGTTAGGTGGACTGAATCGGTGTGCTCGCGCGATGGCGTACATTGCTGCTCTAGGTTGTCCGCAAGGCATTCGGCTTTTTCGGAGTCATCTAGGGCTACTGAAGCGCTATTAGGTCTAACTAACGGCGGTAGAGATTCGCGGGGATCTGCTTTCAGACTGCGGGCCAACCGCCAGTAGGCGGTGTGCGATGGCTCGATGTCCTCTAGGAGAGTGTCCCACGTTGTATGTCGGTGTTCCGATACTCGATCTTTGACTTCTAGCTAAAGGCGTCGAAGTAGGGTTCGGTTCGATTCCGATCGGTATCGGTCGAAGGCGCGTTTGGCTGCATTTTTCTGTCTAGTTAGCAGTCGTAGGTCGGATGGAAAGTTAAACCGTCGGTCGCCCGACAGTTTTACCGTCCGTTCCGAGTCTGTGACTGCGGAAGTAATAGTTTCGCGGAGACTCGCTATCGCTCGATTTGCGTCATCGAACGTAGCTATCGTCTCGGGTAAGTCTACTAAGTCCTGGGGGTCCAAGGCCTTGAGTTTGACCTCAAGACGATGCCAGTCCACTACGGATTTGGTCGGAAGGACCGCGCCGGCGTTCTGGCCCAGTTTACACAGGACGGGCCTGTGGTCTGAGTCTAGTTCATGGATTGTCTCTATCGACTCGATGTCGAGCGAGACCTCCCTGAATAACATTATGTCTAGGACACTCGGTGACGCGTGCTGGTAGTTGTCCACCGTAGGATACCTAGTGGGAGTCGCGGGAGCGACTATACTAAAATTTAGGTTATCGGATAAGCTAAAGAGATGCTTTCCGTTGTTATTTGGGATGCTGTTGGTGTCCCATGAGCCGTGTTTGCAGTTTAGATCTCCTGCAATTATCACGGAAGGGCCTAAGTTAAGAAGCGTATCTAGGTCGCTTTGAAGGA